AGCTTCAGGTGGATTCTGGGCATCCAGACTCAGATTCTCACTTGTATGGCAAGGGCATAGCCACTGAGACATCTTCCTAGTTCCTGAAACTTAATTTATTTCTTTTTTAAAACCGGGTCTCACTATGTGACTTTGTCCTGAAACAGACAACAGCAACAAAACCAAACCAAACCAAACCAAAAAACCACTTCTGCTCATTGTTGTTTGAGACGGGGCCTCTCTATGTTGCTTTGGCTGGTCTGAACTCACTCTGTAGACCAGACTGCCTCAAACTCACATATATTCACCTGCCTTTACCACCCGAGTGCTGGGATTAAAGGTATGAACCACCACACCTGGCTCCTGAAAAATATTTAAACAATTTGTGTATTTTTATTTTATTTATTTATGGCCAGGTATGGTGGTACACACATTTAATCCCAGAGTTCAGGAGGCAGAGACAGGTAGATCTCTGTGAGTAAGAGGCCAGATTGGTCTAGCTAGCCAGATCCAGGCTAGCTAAGGCCTCAAAAAATTTTTTTTGATAATTTCATACATACACACATATAAAATGTCTTGTAATTAGAGGCTGCTTATTTGTTCCTGGCCACCCAGACCCAAATAATCACACAGAAACTGTATTAATTAAAACTCTATTTGGCCAATGGCTTAGGCATATTCTAGCTAACTCTTACATCTTAAATTAACCCATTTCTATTAATCTGTGTATTGCCATGAGGGTGTGGCTTACCGGTAGGTTCTGGTGTCTCTCCTTGACTCCGCCTACTCTTTCTATATATCTCTGTTTGGGTTTCTCTCCTGACTTTACTCTGCTAAGCCATTGGCCAAAACAGTTTTATTCATCAACCAATAAAAGCAACACTTAATTTGAGGAATATCTCACATCAATGTCTTTTGATCATTTGCTGTGTTTTCTTACTTAATGGGAGGATTCTCAGGGTGTCTCTTATGTTTTGCCCTGCTGTGTTCCCCTTGCTGGTCTAACTCGAGCTCAAGTGATCCTCCTGCCTCAGTCTCCCCAGTCTCCACACCACTGTAGCAGGCTTATGGAGTCAGTTATGCCTCACTGATTCTTTGAAAAGGGTCTCTCTAGGATTTTCTGGACCTAAAAGTGACGTCTCAGTGGGTAAAAATGTTTGCCTGGCAAGCCTAGTGACCTGCAGTTTGATCCTTTGAGCTTATATAGAAATATAAAGAGATTACTGACTCCACAGAATTGGCCTCTGACCTCCACACATGCTGCGACACATGTCACCCCATCATGTTCACCTGTGAGCTCTTGCAGGAAGTGTGTGTGTGTGTGTGTGTGTGTGTGTGCGTGCGTGCGTGCACACACACGCACCAATAATACATTTTAAAGTGATTTTTTTTTCTAGTTTGCATCAGAATTTGAAAAGAAAGTGGAGTCCAGAAGTTGGGAAATGAATTTTATTGTTGTGGTTTATAATGCCCATGTCTGAAGGGACTGTGAACTGGTTCAGTGCTAGCCTGGCCTGCTGCTGGCGTGGCTGCCTCTCAAGGGCTCCTCTCTACTCCCATGTACCCTGCCTGATCACAATGACTCTGGATAGCAGAGTGACTTTTGCTGCTGTGTTGATTGACTTTTCGTCAGTGAGAGAATGGGGGGTGGGGGGAGGGGGTGGGAGGGACAGAACAAAGCTCACTGCTTATGAAACAGCCAAGGTTGTGTCATTAATGGATAACCAAGTCTGCTCTCGGGTGGGCGCCTGAGGTCCTGTTTTAATCAGCTGTCCTGCAGCCTCATGCTTCTGACAACACTTGATGTTTATTGTCTTCTAAAATTAGACCCTAGATTTAGGGGAAAAACAACGTTATTTACTTATTTATATTTTGCCTTTTGAGAATGGAATTCCCAGGGCCTTGTTCACGTAGGCAGATGTTCTACCATCGAGCGTTGTTCCCAACCCTTTTGGGGGTCTTTATGTCTAAAGCTATGTTGGGTGACCCTAGAAAATCTCAGATTTGGCTGTTTGTCTGCTAAAAAGAAAAAGAAGGGAGGGATGGAGAGATGAATTCTGGGAACTGAACCCAGGTCTTCTGATGGGGCAGCCAGAGTATTTAACCTTGAGCCATTTCTTAAGCCCCCTTTATTGTGTGTGTGTCTGTATATGTGTGTGTATTTGTCTGTGTATATCTGTGCCTGTGTCTGTATATACATTTTTGTGTATATGTCTGTGTTTGTGTGTGCATTGCCCATGGAGGCCAGAACAGGACATCAGATCCTTCTGGAGCTGGAGTTACAGGTGGTTCTGAACCACCTGACATGGGTCCTCTGGAAGAGCAAGAGGCACTCCTAACGGCCAAATCATCTCTCCAGTTTCCAGCCAGTCCCTTCAAACATAGTTTGTTTTCAGGTTGTAAGGGTCAATCCCAGGCCCACAGGCATGCTAGGCACTGTTGAATCTCTGACTACACACCCATAGTTGGGCATTTTAACCGTCATACCCTTTATGCTATTGCAACTCTGTAGACTGTAGATATTAATGCAGGTATTTTCCACAGACCTGCATAGGAACTTCGTCCAGGGGAATGCAGCTGTTGCCTTTCAGCTACTGGCAGTCTTGCAGGTGGCTACAAGTTCTTCTATTTCCCACCATCTGTGCATGCTGTTCTTTGACTCTTGGATAATTTTTATTTGTTTGTTTGGAGACAAGGTATCATGTAGCCTAGCCTGGTCTAGCTGCGGTGTAGCAGAGGATGACCTTGAACTTTTTCTTTTTAAATATTTATTTTATGTGCATTGGCATTTTGCCTACATGTGTGCCCATGTGAGGGTGTCAGATCTTGGAGTTACAGACAGCTGTGAACTGCCATGTGAGTGCTGGAAATTGAATCTGGGTCCTCTGGGAGAGCAATCCAAGCTCCTAACTGCTGAGCCATCTCTCCAGCCCCAGCCCTGACCTTGAACGTCTGCTGCCTCCTGCTCTACTTCCTGAGTGCTGGGGTTGCAGGTGTGTGCCATCACACGGGGTAACCCAGGACCTCATGCACATGAGGGACCACTCTACCAACCGAGCTGCATCTCCCGCCTTGAGCAGTTTTAACATGGCACTGTGTTGTTGTTTCTATTAATGAGTTACATATTTAACATTTCTTCATTTAAAAAGATGGAAAACTCGGGGCTGGAGAGATGACTTAGTGGTTAAGAGCACTGACTGCTTTTCCAGGGGACCCAACACCTGTGACAAAATACCAATGCATATAAAAGAAAAGAATTTTAAAAAGGTGGGAGCGCATTATGTTCTTCTGGTTATTTCTTGGGCATTCATCAGCCCTAAGTCTGAGTGACTTTTTCTTCTCTAGCTCTTGTCTTGCTGGCATTCTGTATTCTGCTGTGTTGCCCATGGCACCTTGGACACTTGGTGAGCGAGTGGGTGATTACAGTAGGATGTGACTTTCTCCTTGGTGTTGGTTAGTGTCGGTTAGTTGTGTAGATAAACGTCAGCAGGGGGCACGTGGGACATAAGGACACCTTGCTCTGGTAACCGCACTGAAGTGCCTCGCCTTCTTCCTGCTTGGAGTGTGGAAGTGGGGGCTTTTGTGAAGTTCAGGGTGCTCAGCTACTTCAGGACATTTGGCTTCCATGGGACAAGAGAAACCCTTGGGGCCCCAGAAAAGTGAGGTGGTGGCTGAGCAGACCCTTGTGAGTGGTTGTCTTGTTCATCTCACTCGTGACACATCTGGCCCAGAAACACAGCTCTCCTGCCCACAGCTCTCCGGCTGGTGGCTTCTGAAGGAAGTGGCCTCCGCTATGACAGTGATGACAGCCATGACCACCATGAGGTCTTGCCGAATGCTTTCACACCTGTGTCTAATACTGCTGGATGTGACGGGAAATGTCAAACAAGGTGGTTTCTTAAAATAAATTGTTCGTTTATTGTTTTGTGTATGTGGTGGGGGCGGGACACATGGGCGTGGAGGTCAGAGGAGCCTGGAATTGTCCTCCTCCCACCTTTCCCGTCATTCCAGGCTGCTGGCAAGCGCATTCTGGCCTGCTCCAGGTTCTAGCTTTTTGAGGACCCTCCACACTGCTTTCCATAGTAGCCAAACTCATGTGCATTTTTCAGAAACAGTGTATACCGTGAGCAGACAGACTTGTTTTTAATCGTGCAACAAAACTTTTATTAACATTTTAAACAGAGGTTCAGCTATTACCGAAACTTTGTTTTTTTGTTTTTTGGGGTGTGTGTGTGTGTGTGTGTGTGTGTGTTTGAGACACGATTCCTCTGTGTAGCCCTGGTTGTCCAGGAACTAGCTTTGTAGACTAAATTGGCCTAAAACTTGGATCCACCTATCTCTGCCTCCCGAGTGCTGGGATTAAAGGCGTGCACCATCATTGCCTGGCTGGACATACCAAGTGCCAGGATTAAAGGCGTGCGCCACCATTGCCCAGCTGGACATACTTCTTAAATTCGGTTCTTCAGTGACTTGGATTCGGTCAGTGTATAGTTGATCAGAAGGCTTGAGTGACAGGCACATCTTACCAGCCAAGCTGTCTAGCCAGCTCAAAATAATCCTCTAATCCTCCAAACTATATTTTTCTTCCCATTAAGTTGGAATGCACACTGCTCTGCCTCATTGTGTGGGTGTTGGGAGGCCCTGACCCAGTAATGTCGATGCCCTGCAATCTTACAGGTGTGTGTGACGGGTTGGGAAACTCACTATAGGAATTCGTGTGAGACGTGCTGGTTGGCCTGATCAGTCTTCCTGAGTGGGGGTAGCAAAGCTGAACTCTGGGGAACTGGCTGGGGTGCCCAGTAGAGCACCCGCTGAGGGTACAAGACTGCAGACCTGACTGACCAGATTGCTGCTCTGGTTCTGTGTGGAAGGCAAACAAAGGAGCCCAGGCTGAGAGCCAGTGATGATGGGTGGGTGTGACCTCAGCTGCAGGTGTGGTAGCATCCTGCCACCTGATGGGGCCCCACAGGGGCATTGCTTCAGGCAACAGCCACCTACACCATCTTTATGTCCTCTTTCAGGTGCGGACTCTGAGTCAGCAGTGATTGGAGCTGTACAGCTTGTGCCATGGACTCTCAGGTTAGATTCTGACATCTTTTCTTTTTGTTCTTCCTGGACGTCCCTGTGAAGGATGCCGCCTGGTCCTCGTTTGACAGGTCTGCAGAGATGCGCCTCATATCCAGCAGAACTGGTCTCCATTGGCTCCCGCTAGCGGTGGGGGAAGGGGATGGATGGAGTGGCTTGCCTGTCAGACTGGTAGACCTGGCAAGGACAGCCCAGACTAGTTGTGTGAGCAGAAGAGACCTGGGCTCCCACTTGCCCAGTCAGGGACTGAGCTGGCTGTGGGCAGAAGTGTCTGAGTCTCCCCTTCCAGTCAGCCACAGTCTGCAAGTCAGGGCTGTTGTCTCCTGCGGTCCTGCCCTGCTGTCCTGCAGGGCTCTTGAGAGTGGCTCCCTGCTGTGGCCCTCCTCCCCTGGGGCAAGGGTAGGTGTGGTCTTCCTGCTGTCATCACTTCCTGTTTACTTTTGGGTAGGAAGGCTGAGACACAGAAGTAAGTAGCTTGCCTGGTGCCCACAGGTTGAGGCCATAATGAAATGTTGACATTTTCTCTTTATCTTGATATTTGACCTCCCCAAAATACAATAAAAGAACTTGTATTTTATTGTAGATGTTTCTGACCTTTTTGGATTTCTGTATTCCAGCTTTTTATAGTAAAATAGCATTAAGTTAGCATTTAGTACATCTATTAAATGCACATTGAGGGATGTTAAGTGACCTAAGTTTCATTTCTAAGCTTTCTTGTATTACAGGGCCTCATGGTACAGGCATTGCTATCTCAGTGCTCCTCACCAGTGCTTCTCCCCAATGCTCCTCCCCAGTGCTCCTCCCTCTTCTCAGTGCTCCTCCCTCTTCTCAGTGCTCCTCCCCAGTGCTCTTCCCAGTGCTCCTCTCCAGTGCTGCTTCCCAATGCTCTTTCCAGTGCTCCTCCCCAGTGCTGCTTTTGGACACTATAGGGCTGCAGTGAAGAACAGAGAGATCTGTGAGCAAGACCCTCTCTGCCTGTTCTGGGGTTCTCTGGTTATGCACGCATTCCCGTGAAGTGGAACAGGCTAGGGCAAAGGCAGGGTCTGACCTGGGTCAGCACTCCCTAGAGTTTATTGAGCATCCTCTGCCTGCCAGGACCATCCTGGGCTCATGAAGGGGATGATGGAGAAGTGCTTGCCACTGGGGACAGAGCCAGCGCAATCAGGCTCAGTTCTGTATGTAAACATGGTCGGAACTGCAATGATGACATTCGCCTGGCTTCCCTGAGAGAGTGTACAGGCCTTACCTTGGAAGCTGCTTCCTCAGCAGGGTTTTTTCAGGAGGACTTCTGCAGAAGGGGCTCAATCGCCCTTGGTGTCTACAGGTGACGCTAGTTGGAGAGGGTGCGGCAGAATATGCCTCTGCCCGTAGGCCTCCTGCTCAAGCTTTTGGATTCTCAGAGTTATTGGTTCCTAGAGGCAGTGAGCCTCAGGTCCACTTGTGTCCTGACCCCGGCTTCCATGAGCCTTCCTGATTCCCTTTTCATCTTAGGTTAGCAATGGCTCAGGCCTGAAGGCTGATCACATCACAGACCTGCTGGTGTTTGGCTTTCTCCAAAACTCTAAGTATAATTTCGGTCAAGAACTGGAGGCACTAAGTCAGGAACTGCCCGTGCAAGTTTACCTGGATGCAGACTTTGAGGATGAGCTGCAGACTGATGGCAGCCGAGCCAGCCGCTCCTTCTACCACGGAAGAATACAGCCAGGTAGGCCCCGGCCTTGCTCCCTTCTGCTAGGAATATGGTGCCCGTTAGGACCTTGGCGAGTGAAGCCACAGATGAGAGACAAATACGCCATGCAGGCAGAAGTTGAGTGTGGAGTTTATGAGAAAAGGGTACAGGGGAGGGAAGAGAGAGACAGAGAGGAAGAGGCCTGCTTGCCTCTTCAGAAGACCTGTGGGAAGAGTGAGAGTAAGTGGGGCTTGTCTCTTAAAGGGACCTTTGCATCTGCATGCAGTCAGGGAACTGCTTGCCTTGAGCAGAGGGGTGAGGTGTGGCACACTGTGCCAGGTTCCCAACGGGCAGGGCCAAGATGTGCCTCAATTCTAACATTACTCCCTTCTTTTTTATTAAAAGGTGAGGAGTTAGGCATGGCAGGTTAAGGGAATGAGGGCATCAAGTTGTTGAGACTGCTTCCTGCTAACCTGGGGGACGTCAACTATCTTTGGGGGAACCTGAGAAAGCTGGGGTGTTGCCACGTCATGGGGTAGCTGGTTGTTTCACTGCTGTTCAGGCGCTATGGAACTCTCTGGTGCCTCTTAGACCTGGCAAGATGTTGGCAGAGCAGAGGACAAGATTAAGTTTAGGGAAAAAAATTTTTTTTTCCTTCGGCCTGATAGCTGAAGGAGGGGTGCATCTGACCTGCTCAAGGTGAATCCTCCAAGTCGACTCCCTGGAGCTTACAAGAATTCTCTGAGTTTGTGAAAACATAAGTTTTAGACACATTAGCATTTTCACTGTTTATAATCTGTACTGAAATTTACATTGTACAGATGGCATATATATATATATATATGTCAGAAATGATGGTGACAGGTGTGTTTTTTGCATAATGAAAAGCACCTTTTAAGTCTATAGTTAGAAAATGTCCAAAGGGATTTTAAAATCTTAAGCTTGTGGCTATGATGATGGTGGTATAGTATGGTGTTTAGCACTCTGTCAGAGTTGTAGTAACAGCTCATTAGAACTTTATTGATTAATATTAAGACTATGAACAGTAGCATAATGAGAGAGAAATCTGATAACTTGCATTTGTCCACCTTAAAACACTCTTATGCTGGGCAGTGGTGGCACACACTTTTAATCCCAGCACTCAGGGGGCAGAGATAGACAGACGAATTTCTGTAAGTTTAAGGCCAGCCTGGTCTACAAGAGCTAGTTCCAGGACAGCTAGGACTGTTACACAGAGAAACCCTGCCTCGAAAACCAAAACAAACCACTTTCTTATACCCTGAAGCACTCGCAGATCCTCATGTCTTATGTCTTTTTATAAATAAACCTTAAAGCCCCTGTCCTTTCCCCATCGTTATGACATCACCTAACACTCAAGAGAAACACTGTTTTGTGAGTTTGTCCCTTTTAAACTGGCAAACCAGCCATCGAACTGCATCAGAGTTCTTGAGAAGGATAACATTTTACCTTAGTTAATACTTTAAAAAAAAATTGTAATATGAGGGCCGGTTTGTTGGGGTTTTTGTCCCGCCAAGTACCCCACAGCCAGCAAGTCCCAAAGAAAATCACACACAGGATTCCATAAGATTATAAACTGATTGGCCCATTATCTTGTTAACTCTTATAGTTTATACTAACCCATTATTCTGATCTATGTTAGCCATATGGCTTGGTACCTTTTTCAGCTGTCAGCTCACATGTTGCTTCTTCGGTGATCTGGGCAGGAATGGTGGAGAGAGCTTCCTGCTTCCCAGAATTCTCCTGTTCTCATTGCATCACCTCTACTTCCTGTCTGGTTTTCCCACCTATACTTCCTGCTTGGCCAATCAGCATTTATTTAAAATATGATTGACAGATTACAGACAATTCCCCCACACCAAAAAATGACAGAGACTTGATTGGTACCTAGACAGCCATTCCCCAGGATCCTCCATAGTTGTTGAGGGCAGGGGCTTCAGGGCATCATCCATCTTAGAGCGGGCAGCACGGTCCTGCCAGGCTTCAGAAGATCCTGTGGGTTAAGAGTTTGTAGGAAGACCAGCTTACCTTGTCCTGGGCAATGAGGCAGTCAATTTCAGTGTCCCATCATCCACAGTCTGCAGAGGTCTTTTCACCAGTTGAGATGAAAGGCAGTTTTGTTCAGTGGCTAATGCTTTCAGTTGTGAAGCAAATTTCAGGTGGAGGGTCTTCTGTGCCCACCCATCTTCTTTGGAGGAAATGGGGGTGGGGGAGTGGAGGTAATGGGGGTTTGTACCAGGAACCAGCCTGTCTCTCTGTTTTTAATTAAACATTTAAATGCCATATTTCCAAGTTCTCTGAACATTGAGAGCTGTCTATTGGGTATTTCTGAGTTATGACTACAGTATAGGATCTGACTGGAGAGCTGGATCCAAGCTGAGAGGTTGTGAAGTGATGTTTTATCCAGAGTCCTCCAGCTTGACTGTAACTGGTTTTAACTTAACAGGTCAGATTTAGACTTGTGAAGGACAAAGAAAGAAAAAAATTTGCAATAGAAGCTTAACAGTAAAAACTGGCACTAGTGAAGAGCAGCTTACAGGAAAGGCTGGGAAGTGTACATCTCCAGCTTTTGTTAATCTGAAGTAGGTCTTTATAACCTTCAGTTTTTATCACCATGTAGAATATATTTTAAAGCAGGGTTGAATCCTATAGTTACAGATCAAATCATATACTTTTATCATCATTTAAAATTATATACCAATTTAAAATGTTTGAGACTTTTTTTTTGTCTAGAAGGAGATACAGTGAATAGAGCTCGTTGGGACTGTGTAAGAGACCATTGTGGCTGTTTAAAGCATCTCCTAACATGTAGCTGAATGTACACATATAGCAGTTGAATTTGAGTTGCATACACACATGTATACAAACATACAGAGTTAAAGATAGCTTATACTCACATATAGGGTTTTTTTGTTTTGTTTTGTTTTAGTTTTTTGGTTTTTCGAGACAGGGTTTCTCTATAGCTTTGGGGCCTGTCCTGGAACTTGCTCTGTAGACCAGGCTGGCCTTGAACTCACAGAGATCTGCCTGCCTGTGCCTCGTGAGTGCTGGGATTAAAGGCATGCACCACCACTGCCCGACTCACATAAAGTTAAATCAAAAGTCAAATGTATACTGAGCAAGAGAGCTAGCAGGCAGCAGATGTATAGCTGGGGTTCCTGTGTCAAATGAACACTTCAACAGGCCCTGTCAAGGTGTACCATCACACAAACACACCACATAGTCATTGTAACAGGAAATAGAGACAGAGATATACGTAAAAGGTAAGATGAGACAAAGCTTAAAGGCGGCTAGTGATAGGTCATGTAACTGCTCTCCTGGGGGTGGAGGGGATGTGGGACAGGCTGTTGCAGCCACTACTTAGTTGGGGCAGAGCCGCATAAGTCTGTGACTCCTCCCTGTCCCAGTTGCCACCAGCCCTGGGTGGCACAGGGGTGTGGTCACATGGCTATCCTTAGTAAAGATGGCGGTTAAGATATCTGGCCTGCCCTTAGCCAAGAGCACCTGTCCATGAGTTGTAACCCCTCCCACTTCCCTGTCTGCTCTCAGAAGTTAGAAAGGTGGGAGTAGGAAGGACTTGTCTCTTAAAGGGACCTTTGTACCTGTGTACAGTCAGGGTACGGCCTGCCATGCGCAGAGGGGTGACTGCACTGTGCCAGGTTCCCAAGGGGCAAGGCCTAGGTGTGCCTGGATTCTAACCCCTTCACCCCACATCTAAGCTTTACTGATCTCCACAAAGGTTACAGGGGGCTTTGGGGCTCAGCCTCTAACCCTGCATTGTCAGATTCTTGTATGTGTGCATGTCATGTGACTCGTCCTGTGATCTGTGCTTGATTGTGCCCACTCATGTCCAACTCATTACCCCCTGTCTAGGGACTAATTAGAAAGTTTCTCCTTCTGATGAGTCCTAAGTTCTCTTCAGGAATCTCCTCTCTGAATCAACAAATCAACAATGGGACCTGTTTTTTGTGTTTTTTTTTTTTTTTTTTTTTTCTACAGGTACAGTGCAGCCAAAGACTGGAAGCTGGTGGAGATTTTGTAAGCCAAAGGTGCCACTAGTTTCAGTTTGTGGAATTTCAAAGTCATTCCTCCTGCCATTCAGATCTGGGAGGTCTGGGACATCGCTAGTCTGGTCCCAGCCTCCAAACCATTCCAACACAGCCCCACAAGACCTTGTGTTGGCTAGCTGAACTCTCAGTCCAGCAAAAACTCCTGCCTTTATGGTCATTTTTGCATCCTTTATGAAACCTTAACATATGTGATAGATGACCTTAAAGACCGGAGCACTGAGGTATTCTGGCCCTCATTTCCAGATAAGGAAACCGAGGCACAGCAGACTAAGCAGCCTCAGATCAAACTGCCCAGGCTTCAGGAGCAGGACTCAGCCCAGCTGTCACCCCCTGCTGAACCTGTGTCACTCGGACCACATCTAGACTTTGTCTTTCCCTGACCTGAGCCCTGGGCTCTCTTCCCAGCCTCTGTTTTAACTCCTCTCCCTTTTGCTGCTGTGTTTTCAGCAGGGGAGGGGACTTTGCTAAGGCTGGGATGTGTCATGTGCTCAGAGCACTTGTGAGGCCTTATGTGAGTTCTTCAAAATGTGCAGGTCTGGGGCTCTGCTCGACCAGTGTGTTCCTGGGCTGGAGACTGCTGGGTGATTTGTTTTTTTGTTTTTTGGTTTTTTAATTCATGTCTGTCTGGGTATGGGGGTGTGCACATGCCCTAGCATACAGGTAGAGTCAGAGTTGGCTCATTCCTTCCACTGTGTGTGTCCCGGGGTTTGAACTCAGGTTGTCAGGTTTGGCAGCAAGTGCCTCTGAGCCAACTCACTGCCCCTCAGCTGATTTTTGATCCTGGTTGGACTCACTGCTCTGTAGGTCTCCCAGGACCTCCAAACCCTAGACTGGGGCTTTCCCACCTTGCAGGCCAGGGGCTGGAGATGTAGGTCAGAGGTAGAGAGTGCCTAACCTTTCGAAGGCTCTGGGTTTGTCACTGGCAAGCTAGCAGTCAAGCAAACAAAAGATAGCCAACCTCTCATGCTACACTTGGTACCTGTTGCTAAGCCCAGCTTCCCGATCTTAGGCACAGAGGCTTGTGCTGCCTTTGAGTGGTTGTGAGGAGACTAGCAGATGGTTTAGCCTCTCCCTCCCCTGCCTTCATTAATTTTTTGAGACTGGGTCTCACTATGTTACCCTAGCTAGCTTGAAGTCTTTCCCCTGCTTCTTTCTAGCTCAGCCCTCGACTTCCAACGTCAAAGCCTGGCTAAGCCCAAAGGGTGTCAGCGAAAGTGACGCTGGGGCTAACAGTTGGTCTCACCAAGGCTTTGGAAGAGAGGCAGGGTAGGAGCTTCAGCAAGTGAGTGAGCAGGAGGAATAGTGACATTAAGTCACAGGGAACCGGATGCAAAGTAGTGACATGTGACTTAAGCCGAAGTGAGTGAGCACTGGAAAGGCCTTGGGAGAGCTGTGTGCTAGTCATTTGACAAGCATCGGCTGAGCAAGGGCCAGGCATGTGCTGAGTGCTAGAGCGATTGCCTCGCGTATATGAGGTTGAGTCTCCCCCGCGAGAGCAGCCGCGAGAACACAGGACACACTGGACGAATGGGAGCCGTCTTTCCCTCACTCCCAACGTTGAGTACCTTGGGCCTCTGGCCAGTTCCTTAGAGTGAGTCCCCTTAGGACCCAGCTTACTGTAGCCAGTTCCTGGTTCTGAGATACAGGGTGAGTCTGCATTGTGAGCTTCAGTTGGGCAGCTGACTGACAGGGAGTATGTCCCTGTCATAATAAATAAGCCAGGTGGGGGTCAAACAAAAATCACAGTGATTTAAGAGCTACATACAAGTTTGTCATTTATTTATCCATTCACGAAATTGCTTACTGGGCACCAACCATATACCACTCATGCATCGTTCTTAGTGTTGGGTGTCAGACAGTAAACCAAAAGATTTACCTTTTCAGGACTCAGAGAGGTGACTTGTAATTAAGAGCACTTGTTATGGGCTGGGGAGATGGCTCAGAGGTTAAGAGCACTGGTTACTCTTCCAAGGGTCCTAAGTTTAATTCCCAGAAACCACATGGTGGCTCACAACCATCTATAATGAGATCTGGTGCCCTCTTCCACCATGCTGGTACACATGCAGGCAGAACACTGTATGCATAATAAATAAATAAATCTAAAAAACAAATCAATAAATAAAGCACTTGTTACTCTTGCAGAGGACCCAGGTTCAGTTCCTTCCTGCACATGGTGCCTCACAACTCTAGTTCCAGGGGATCCAGTACCCTCGTCTGTAAACAGAGACCCTTGTTTGTTTCCTGGCCACTGAGACTCATACAGAAACTATATTAATTACAACACTGTTTGGCCTATTAGCTCAGGCTTCTTACTAACTAACTCTTATGTCTTAAATTAGCCTGTTTCTATTAATCAATGTATCACCACAAGGCTATGGCCTACTGGTAAGGTTCCAGGGTCTGTCTCCTTCAGCAGCGACATGGCATCTCTCTGACTCTGCCTACTCTCTCTATACACCTCTGTTCAGATTTCCCGCCTGGTTTTACTCTGCTAAGCCCTTGCCTGAAACAGCTTCTTTATTAACCAATGGTAATAAAACATAGTCACAGCATCCAGAGGGGCATCCCACATCACTCATCTAACCTCCGTGGATACCAGGCATATAGGTGGTACACAGACATACACGCAGGCAAAACCCTCATACACAAATAAATTAATCTGAGCAGAATTGTAGTTTTTCAGAAGCTTATATATAAGCAGTTGTGTCCGACAACAAAACTATAAAGTACATAGTGAAAAAGGGAGCAGCCTGGGCAGAGACCACACAATAGGACTGGGCAGGGGAGAGGTAGGGCAGCATGGGGAAGCTGCAGAAGGGGCAGCTTGAGAGGAGGCAGGGCAGGACAGACACAGTAGCCCTGGGCGTTTACAGTTGGAAATGACACTCCTGCTCTGTGGGGATGTCTGGAGGATGCTTGGTCTCTGGGCAGTGTGCAGCAGAGTCGGGGCTCAGAGCCCCTTCCCTAGTGCCAGGCTGGTGCTAGGCTCATTTCTGGTCCCCACCAGGGCACATGTGGAGGTAGGAAGTGACATGAAGCTGTTGACCAGGACCCTTACTGAGTCTTGTTTGTGTTTGCTGCCTGAATGTTCAGATTCTGAAAGTCAGGAGGCAGTCATCCAGAACATTGCCCGACATCTTGCCCAAGTAGGCGATGAGATGGACCACAGAATCCAGCCCACACTGGTGAGACGGCTGGCAGCGCAGTTCAGGAACGCCAGCCTGTCAGAGGAGGTATGTATGTGACTCTGGCCTCCAGCTCGTCTAGGGCACTGGGGAGTGCAGGGCACTTCCTGTGCAGAGCCAGTCTCTCGGGAAGTGAGTCCTGTCCTTGAAAGCCACCAGCATGGTCTCTAAGGATCAGTCAGTGTAGATTTAGAAGCCTGTCCATCAGAGTCCAGAACTTAGGGGGGGAGTCTCCAGAAAGAGAGTCAAAGTGCCCGGTCCCTACTCCGTCTTCGCTTTGGAGAGTCAGATGAAGACGCCAGTGGAGATCTTGATGTCGTTTTCCCCAGGGTGACAGTGCAGCCTGCTCCTCTGCTTCGCTCTGTGGTTCTAATTAGCACACAGAAACTGACAAGATTTCGACTCTTGCTCAGTACTGTGAAGGACCCAAAGCTGGATCCTTGGCACTGTCCTTCCCAAAGAAAGAGAATACCAAACCCCAGGACTGAAATACCCGCCTCTGGAAGGAATAGAGGGGGGAGCTTCTGTTCTTCACCTTCACCAGCTGAAATCTTTGGTGCCCTCACCGTCTGTGTTCATTGTGCCTCTAAGCAGCCTGTCTTTGTGGTGGGCACTCCCTCTACTGTCCTCACTCTCCAGCGGCTGTCACCCAGCATAGACACATCTGTGAACAGCCTTGGAACTCCAAGGGTAGATTTTGAATGTGAGCCACAGAACTTGAAGATCTCTGCCCCACAGTGCTTTTTTGTTTTGTTTTGTTTTTTAAAGACAGGGTTTCTCTGTGGTAGCCCTGGCTCTCCTGGAACTCACTCTGTAGACCAGGCTGGCCTCTTTGAACTCAGAGATCCACCTGCCTCTGCCTCCCTAGTGCTGGGGTTAAAGATGTGTGCCACCACCTCCTGGCCACCTTTTAAAAAAATTGGAAGTTGATTCTGTGTCTGCATGAGCCTTGTGTGTGAGTACATGCACATGCTTGCAGGTGCACGCAGAGGTATCAGGTCCTCGAGCTGGAGTTGCAGGCCAGCGTGAGCCACTGCATATGGGTGCTGGGAACTGAACTGGGCCCTCCAGAAGAGCAGTGCATGCTCCTTTACCTCTGAGCCGGCTCTTCAGGTCTCATGGTCTATTGTCTGCCTTTCCCACTTGAAGGAAAGATAACACGTAGCCCCTAAAGCCGAGCACAGCAGTTAAGATGAGCCTCAGACAGCCTCCTGAACAGCAGTTCTGTAAGAACAGACTGCAGGGAGCGCCTCTGTCATGTGCACAGGCTGCTCAGTAAACACGCGGTGATGAGTGCCGCATGCTGCCTTCCATGGCTTGTGGGGACTGACTTCTCTCTGCCATTGTGGGGACCATTCCCTCTGCCCTGTGCTCTTAGCTATTTAACCAGTGCTGCCCTCTGAAAGGCTTGTCTCCTGTTGCCTGGTCTGTTCCCTCTGAGGAAAGAACATCTGTCGACTGTCTTCTTTCACGTGCAGGACAGACGCAACTGCCTGGCCAAAGCCCTGGATGAGATGAAGACGGCTTTCCCTAGAGACATGGAGAATGAAAAGGCCATGCTGATAATGACCTTGCTATTGGCCAGAAATGTGGCCAATCATGCACCATCCTTACTCCATGATATCTTCCGCACTACAGTGACCTTTATTAACCAGAATTTATTCACCTATGTGAGGAACTTGCTTAGAAATGTAAGGATCAGTGACACCAGCCCCTGGCTTCTCATGGAGTCCCGTGGTCCCTCCCTGCTTGCCCACCCTCTTCTCTCGACTGTTGAGAATCCAGCAGAGCCAGAGCCCCTGCTAAAGTCCCTCTCGCCCCCGCACCCCCCCCCCCCGCCATCCCCATACCCCAACTGCAGACTGTCTGTTGGGATGAGAGGCAAAGGCTGGTTCACACTACTGGTGGGACGCAAGCAGGGTGGGGAAATATGGAGTGAGAGGGAAGATGGCCAAGGGCTCCAGCTCCCTTGGACTGCTCTTTATTGTCACAAACCTAAGCTTAAGTATGTATGTGGTGTGCGCATGAGCGTGAACTTGGGGAGGGGGGTGCCTGTTGGAACCAGAGGTCGTTATCTGGTGTCTCCTTTTGTCTTGCTCTACCTATCTTTTTGAGGCAGGGTCTCAGTGAAGCCGAAGGGAGGAGGTGGTTTATTTATGGGGGGGGGGCAGAACCCACCTCTATCTGAAAATGATCCGGAATACAAGGTACTCTTCCTACCTCAGCTTCCTGAATGCTGGGACTACAGTGCACCGCCACATGTGGTCAGTGGTGCCGGGGATGGAGCCCAGGTCTCTGCCTGCGAGGCCAGCGATTTGCTGAGCCACAGCCAGAGTCTGGTGCTCGTGTGACTGACTGCTGCTGCTCTCTCCTTAGGAGATGGACTGAAGGCTGCCTGCAGAAGCGCAGCTGGCTGACGCCAATAATGGCAGACCAGTGAAGCTGACTCCAGAGGAAACACACGCTGGAGTGAAGACAGGCCCCAGATAATAACTGCCTCCCTATTCTCAGGACAGTGTTTTAGGCTGGTGACTCAGTTTCTCCATTGAGCCAGTGTGCGCATATCTGAAGGGCTTGTGCCAGCTCCTGCATCCACTCCATGTTCCTTCATCTAATCAGCTGTACGGGTTCCCACTTGAAAATTAAATTTAAAAGCAGGTTGTAAGGCAGAAAAGACTTACTTATACTGTGGAGTTACTGTTCGTGAGAGGCTAGCCTGGGACACTGTTTTCTGTTTCAGGACAGTGCTAGCAGGGGTGCACTGGCCCCAGAGTGAGAACTCCATCCAGTGCAGGGGACATCTCAATGCACAGACGGCCACAGCCTTCCTTTGTAAAAGCTGAATGGCAATGAGGCTTGAGTCTATGTCTCTGTTCTCTAACCACCCCTCCCTGCCCCACCCATAAGCAAGGGTTTAGCTGTTTCAAGGGACAGTTTTTCTAAAGATTTCTATCCCAGTGGGAACAAACTGAGTTGTGCACACAAACTCAGTCACTACAATCAGGTTCGCTAGGAAACATTTACACAAGAAACAACTGAAATACCAGAGTCAACCGGAATGAACAGGAGAGATCTAAAACAGCAGTCAGTAATCCAATAGTAACATCGTCACCTCCCACTGTACCTGCGGTGTAGTGGCCACCATCTTAGTTAGATTCACAGAGGTAATTTCCAGTCACATCTGATGGACATTCTTGGTTGTAAAGCAAAACTGCCATTTGTTCTCACCGGGCCATCTTTAGAAAGATTCCATGTATCAAAGCCAAATGTTCCCTCCTTTGTATTTCAGAGATAAGGTCTTACTGTGTGTCCTCAGACACAGGTGATTCTCCTGCTAACTTTCCTAATGCTGGAATTGCAGGCATGAGCCACCACTACCTGCTAAGTGTTCCAATCTTCAATTCATTGCAGCCATGCCGGCCTGGTGTATCATGGAAATTGGTGGATATTTTTCTTTAGTAACATGATCCTTGTGTGGGTATAATTGTGAGATGATTTTAATTCAGAGAATATTTTTCATTCTGCTCTAAAATGATGTGAATTGATACGAGTGATGGAAATTTGTTTCTTCAAAATAAAAGGCTTTCTTCTCTAAAGGATGCTTAGCAACATCTCCTAGGTGATCTAGTGCATCAGAAGGTCACAGCATTCCCAGTGACCTTCAGGACCCAGCATAAGCACAGGTGTTTGGGGTCACAGCGACTTGACTGGCTGTGCCAACTGGGAACTCAGGTGTGGTTTTGAATGGCAGGATCATGCTTCAGGACTAAGGCAAATCAAGAATGCGTGCACTACAAAACACTGTCTGAAGTAATCCCCCTGCGCCAACAGTAGCGGACAAAACCATGAGTCACCAGTTATCAGAAAAGCTCGTTTTATTGTCACCTCCAGGGTATTTCCCCAAGAAGTTGCTACTACCTGGAAGCACAGTTTGTAGACCTGAATTTTGTCACTTCCTGATATAAAAGAAGCTTGGGCACAAAGTAGACAACAGCATGGGAAAGGAGCCAAAACAATTCGCAGTAATGAATTGCAAGTCAGAGCTGATAAGCACACTGGAAATGGTGCTGCCTGAATCAAATGCTTATGCTAATCTTTATTTATTTTTGGTTTTTTGTTGTTTTCTGAGACAGGGTTCCTCTGTATAACAGCCCTGGCTGTCCTGAACTAATTCTGTAGACCAGGCTGGCCTCGAACTCACAAAGATCCACCTGCCTCTGCCTCCCAAGTACTGGAATTTAAAGGCATGCATCACCACAACCCAATACTAATTTTTTTTTAAAGATAGGATCCCATATATTAAAGGCTGAACTTTAACTCTTTGCCACGTATGGCCTTGAACACTGTCTGCCTTCCTTCCCCTGAGTGCTGGGATTACAGGTATGTATGTATTCCATGCCCAGTTCATGTGGTGCTGGAATGGAACCCAGGACTTCATCCACACTGGATAGACATAACAGCTATGTCTGCCTGATTCTGCTGTGTTAATAATTACCATTCCAGTACTTTGGGGAGGGGGGCAAGAACTAGAGCCAGTAACAAACTGAGCTTAATCAAGGGGTTAGGAGAAAGAGGCACTTTTAATATGAAGAAAGAAAAACAGATTACAAGAGCAGGGAAAATACAAGTTCAGGAAAAAAAAATGTTTCTTATCCTTTTGTGCTGGCAAACAAATGGTCCATGTACACAGGGTACCAGACAGACCTTTTTAGACCTCACTAACGGAAGGTGTAGTTCACCATCCTGGGAAAGGCCTCCACAAACCTGTCATCTCAAAATGACAAAACGTGGCCCTGGCAAGATAGCCATGGGTAAAGGTGCCTTCCACCAAGTGTGCGGACCCCCATGGGGAAAGGAGAGGACTGTGACATGCATCCACACACATACATAGACAAATTAATAGCTTTTCATGTCAAAGTGTTTGCTGGAGGAATATATCCAGAAGCAGGGTCTAACACCCTCTTAGAGGAGAAAACGGGAGGATCCCGAGCTGGCCTGGCCAAGTGTCCCTGAGACAGTTCTGCCCTGAGCGGCACGGAAGCAGCTGAGGGCTGGGGCTTCGTGTAAACATGAGCGTGGGGAGGGTGAACTGGGACATGGCGAGCCAGGCTGGGGCTCAGGGAGGGCTGTGTGAAGACGACAGTGTGTTCACCTTTTAACAGCTTCCAGCTCTCCAGCAGCGCTATTTAAAGGTTACATGGCTGTAAAACCAGAGTCAGTTCTCATGGACGCAGCAAGGTTCTGTGGCAGGATTTCACTGGGAAGCACTCTTGTCAGATGAGCAAGATGGAAGACTGGTCATTCCTGAGTCTGAGTGTCAAGAATCCAAAATCCTCTAGGTGTCCCCATATCCCTCAATATGCCCACCCTGGACTGATGGCCACCACAGGGGAAAAGGACCAGAGGGATCAAAAACTGCCAAAAATGGGGGAGAGAGGTGTCACGTGGCTGCCTTCATCTGTCACACTGCATGCCTGGTGATGACAGCTATGCCCAACAGTCCAGCTTTGTCTATGAAAACACATTAAAAATGGCTACTGAACATCAAAAACCGCCACAGGGTAATCCCAGGGCACTCACGCAGTGGCTAAAGGGACGCTGCACTAGGCCTGGAGTCGGGAATTTTCACTCGCTGCTTTGCCTCTGATAAGCTAGGCCACGAGATGAACCAGGAGTTCTGGGTGGGTTTCTACTCAACATGGGAAGTCTAGAGTGAGCGGCTCCCAGGACCTGAAGATGTGAAAGTCCCCTAGCCTCTGGTGTGTATTAAGTGCTCAATCAATATCAGCAAAAGGGACAGCCCACACAAAGCTCACTTAGAAGGTATACTACCATGGCAGGCCACAGCCATCTCACAAATAAAGGTTCTCAGTGCTGTCCTGCTGCTAAGATCGTGTGTGTGTGTGAGAGAGAGAGAGAGAGACAGACAGGCAGGTAGGCAGACAGAGACAGAGACTGACCATGGCTGATCATACTACTGAGCAGAGAGCTCATGGAGAACTCATGAAGACCTAAAATAAGAGTAAGGAAAGGACTTTTCCTTAGCTATAAAGTGTAGTTTCTATAAAGTAGCTCTTAAAAGGTCAATGCCCACATCTCCCCTTCAGAGCAAAAGGCAGTGCAGACACTGTGTTCTCTGACTGGGGAGCTTAGCACAGAGGCTAAGACAAGCAGTGGCAGCTGTGGTTCCAAGAACCAGGCTCAGAGAACTTCACTCTCCCTAGGACAAATGATACCTAAAGGGACTGGACACAGGCAGGAGGGGCCAGGGATGCTCTGGGTGAGGTATACGTGAACCAGACCAAACAGGCATATTTTTCTAGAGCAGTGGTTCTCAACCTTCCTAATGCTGTGACACTGTAATGCGAGTTGTGGTGAGGAGACTTCCAACCATAAAATTATTCCGCTGCTACTTCATAACTGATTTTACTACTGATAGAAATTGTAAATCCCTGGCAAGCAGGACAGCTGACACACAACACCCCCTCCCCAAGGGGTCTCGGCCCACTGGTTGAGAACCACTGATCTGGACCATCTTCTAGAGGCAGTGATGATCATGCAAGGCCCTCCTGCTAAGACACTCGACTCAGATTTGCCATGTCAGTACAGAAGATTAAGTTGGTATTCTTTAGTCCTGGTGTGTCTGTCAGGAAAATCTCACTGATTTTGGCTAAGTGAGCACCAATCGTTTCACAGAATGGAGCTGCTAAGAATTCTAGTAAGGGCTGAGGTGCAGGAGGGATCGAGCACTTGCCTGGTGTGAGATGCACACACAGGCGACAATCTCCAGAACTAGTAAAACTTCTCTGGTTCACAAGCAACAGTGGAGCTGAGGTATCTCGATTCTGATGCTGTGCACTCCCCAGTCAGGTTGAATGTATTCTGAATCTTCAGTCCAGGGGCAAGAACAGCCTCCTGTCAGTCCCCAGAAGGACTTGAGAACGAATTTTAATGTGACAGAAAGACCAGGTGTGGTGACACATGCTTATAATCTCAGTCCTGAGGCTGGACTACAAGTTCAAGACCAGCCTAAGCTACATAGGTAGACTGCCAACTTATTTTTATCCATTTAAAGCAACGGCAAACCTAGGAAGTGCAGCAAAAGAACCACCCTTGTGGTGGCTACTCTGTCCATTGCCAAGCAGAAGGCAATGAGATACAACATGCCTATCTCCCAGGAAAAAGATTCTGTGTGGAGAGAACCAATGGGAAGTCACCTACTTACCATCACCCAGAAAAAGAGTTGGGTAAACCAGGTTAGTGTTCATGGGGTAGTAAAATACAGCAACAAGCAGTTAGCACAGTATCAGGTCTTCCCTGTCCCTGCCTTGGTGAAGAGGCATCTATATAATAGATGATATAATAGTCATCCTATAATAAACTTCTTAGCCACTCCCACCTGAATGTGACAGTTAGCCCTTAAATGGGATACACCAGTGAGAACCCAAAGTTCCAAAGGGTTAACGCTGGAAGAAAACTCTTTAAAAAAAAAAAAATCAAGGCAAGGCAACCCACCAGTCTCTGAGCTGTGAGAACCAGGACATACTCCCACCACCTCCAGTCACACTAGAGCCCTTACACCCACGGGACAGCAACGAGGCATCACAGTGCGACACAGCGACAGGACACAAACATGCTCAAATCTCTTCCTGATCAGCTCTTTCAAGTACTTTTTAAGGGACAGTTTCTTTACAAAATAATTTTTAAAAATCAAGCATATTTAAAACATCAGCTCTTGGTGATCAGAGTAGTTAAAATTATTTTTATTATAAATTTCAGGATCTAAGAAGTGTAATGTTACATGACTAAGTCAAATCTGAGAAGACTTCTTACCAAGCACGTGAGCCTTGCAGGTGGCACTGTGGCCCCCAGGCATGAGAGGGTCAGGTTCCACCCCTCCTTGAGGGATGGGGTCAGCCAAATGACAGAAGACCCTGCTGAGTCCCACTAGGTACGGGTGAATGAGTGCACAGAGGCCTCTTGGTCTGTCACCCTGGCATTGGGCTGACCAGAGTTCAGGCCAAGAGGTCTCCTCTTGAACTCTGAAGACCAAACCAGTACCTTGAGAGCAGCAGTCTTGGTCTTAAATTCAAGTTTCTGTCCCACTTTTCATTAAGTGATACCTAATAGTAAATGATAAAATTTTATCACTTATTTCAATGACTTACATTGAATAAGGGTTATGCTCCAACTTTCTGTAGCCAAACGATGACACTGCTTCCTACATGGCAGGAGACTCACAGGGAAGCCGATGATGTCCCAAAGACCAAGGTCAGGTACTGGGAAACACTAACCCAGGGTCCTAGATGATGCAAATGCCATCAGAGGTGTCATGGGCACGTGGGGTGGCTGGCCACACGTGTAAGAAGTCCAGCAGACCTGGACAGGCTGTGTAGACTGCCTTCCTGCCTCTAAGAACAATGACCGCAGGCAAATGCCGCCTGGAACCTGCAGTGGCAATCAGACTAGGAAACCTTAAGTCTCCTACACAGCTCTAACACATTATCTTGGGACAAGGTTTCAGCATGCAATCCTGGCTGGTCTCAAACTCAGTATGTACACCAGGCTGGCTTTGAATTTGTGATAAATATCCTTG